ACAGAAAGCACCCAGCTGCAATTTGGTGCAAATAAGAAATTATGGTCGCTCTCTCAGCCCACCTCACCTTGAAGGATTGTTTCATGGAGAAAACAGGAGGAGGAAAGAGTGTTGTGTACGTTTGCTGCCTTGAGCTACTTATAAAGTAATAAAGGCAAGACAAAATCTAATAAATAAATGAATAAATACATGGGAAGAACCTGAGCAAAGAAAATCTTGGTATGTGTGGGTGTGGGTGTGGGAAACAGAGGTGGGCGGGGGGGGGGAGAGAAAGAATTGAAAATAAATAACTTAATCAAGTCCTAGAATCAGAACATTCTGTCTAGAAAAATGTATTTGATTTTCAAGTAGTGAATACGAAATGGGCTAATTTTCTACCTTTTGTTCCATTTAATGTCTTAATTGCAAAGCAATTACATTCTTCTGTTGATAAGTCACAAATTTAACCAGCCACTTCCTTGCCATCCTGAAATTATACTGGTATTGCTATTCAAATATGAAGAAATTTCTGGGTGGCCTAATTTTCCCCAGACTGGTACTTTTGTTTGGATGTGTGGATTAGCAATTCTGGGATCCAGACTTTAGCTGTCTCAGGAGCCTCAGATTAAGGACATCTCCATTCAAATATCTACCCAACTTGCAATGCACATTAAAGAGGATCATATTTCCCTTATGCAGTTGCAGCTGCCATCTTGAGTTTTCTGACCCCTCAGTGCCTCTGGAAATACTGCTATATATTAATAAGTGTGCACTTTTTATGTTTTTGAAAATTAAAAAGTGAGGAATATCTTTCCAGGGAATGTATATGAGTGAAGGCCGTTGTATAGCAAGAGAATCTGATTTCAGAACTGGTTGGTTGTTGTGATAAAATGATAATTATCAACAATGTAAAGGTCCTGAGTTCTTTCCTCAGATTTAACTCAGTCCAGGCTCCCAATAGCAGTCTGGCATTTAATGTTTTAATTATAAATTTTTAATTTTGCACAGAAAAAGAGATTAAATGAAATCAAATTAAAATGATGCTTTTTGGTATGGTCAGTATGGATTTGCCATGAAAGAAAAAATGTGGGAGGAAGTTTATATAGGATAAGTACTGACAGTTGGAGAACTAAATATTACGGAATACATGTTATCTGTGGAGTCTTTAGTGCTGTCTGGTTGTTTTCTTGCAGACGTTTCATTTAGTGAATATGTTACCTAGTTTAATAATGAAATGTCTGCAACAACACAACCAGGCTCAAGGAGCACCAAGGACCCCCCAATTCAATCCTGAGCTACAAATATTCTCTTCTATTGCTAGAATACGGAATATAGAATAACAGAGTTGAAAGGGATCTTGGAGTCTTCTAGTTTCAACTCCACCCAAACTGGAGACCTTATACCACTCCAGTTGGAGCACCCACAATTTCTGGAGGCAACTTATTCCCCTAATCAATCAAGCATACTCATGATCAGGAAATTTCTCCTTAATTCTAGATTGCTTCTCTCTTTGATAAGTTTCCATCCGTTAGTTCTTGTCTTGTCCTCAGGTACTTTGGAGAACAGGCTGTCCCTTCTTCTTTGTGACAGCCTCTCAAATATATGTTATCTATATTATTTCTAAAACCCAACATGGCATAGGGTTTAATTATCTGAGAAGCCATCTGCCTTCCATCATTCTTTGCACTTCCTATATGATTGAAGAACTTGCTTTAGATCCCACCAACTAAGTGATGTCAGTTAGAGGGACCTAGGAAGAGGGTCTTCTCTATTGCAATGCCTTCCTCTGGAGCAACATTCTTTGCCCCTCACTCTTCCTGCCTTGAAGCATGCCCTAAACATGTGCTTCTTCCTTCAGGTCTTGGGTTGGGGTGTCTAGTGGACTCTTTGAAGTTTGGGAGTGACCCGGACTTTTTTAAAAAAATACTGATCTCAGGGATAATTATATAGATTGATGTTTCTAACTTGATGAAGCTATTTGGAAACAGTTTTGAGGCTGGGCAGGCTAGAACAGTGGTGGCGAACCTATGGCACGGGTGCCAGAGGCAGCACTCAGAGCCCTCTCTGTGGGCATGCGCGCCGTCGCCCCAGTCCTAGGCATTCAGCTTGGTTTTATAAAACCTTTTCGCTTTAGGCCTCCGCTACAGTGTGCAAAAAAAAAAAAAAAAAAGGTTCAATCAGTCAATTTCAACTTCTCGCGGGAAAAAAAAGATCTTGAAAAGTTGGAATTGATTGATTGAACTTTTTAGTCCCACCCAGTCTGCCTTTACCACCGCAGCCACGCCCACCCAATGGGCCACACCCAGCCGGCACTCAACGATGCATAAATGGGTTTTGGGTTGCAGTTTGGGCACTCAGTCTCTAAAAGGTTTGCCATCACTGGCCTAGAACATGAAGGTAGGTAGGTAGGTAATAGGTAAAGGGAGGGAGGGAGGGAGGGAAGAAAGGAAGGAGATGACGTGATTGATTTGATCTCTTTCTGTGACCTTGAAGTGGGTAATTAAGGTATGTCTGTTCTGTTTGATTGAAAGGAATCCAGCTGGCAGCATCCATGAGGTTGATAAAAAGATCAAGATGATAGATGCTTTGTTTGCTTTAATAAATAATTTCTCATTCAAAAATTTCTCTTCCTGTAGAGAAATATGTTTGATGCCCTCAATTCATCCTAGATGACAAATTTTGGGCTAATGGTGCTCCAGGCTTTTTTCAAAGCCTTGGAAACTCAACCAGGCGGGCATGTTTCCAAACCTTTATCCCCAGCAATTCAGCTACTCTTCAATATGCAAAAAAAAAAAAAAAAAACCCAAATCAAGTTCTGTCTTAGATCTCAAATTTTAATTTTTGGCTGTCCTCAGATTTTCTTTCAGAAAACTTGGAAGGCACATGTTGCATGGGATTTTTCTCTCCTAAATACTGTACAAGAAGCAAAATACACTCTCCCTGGGAAAACCTAGGGGGTGGATTTTTTTAAAACTTCCACAATCTTTCCATTTTTTTATTGTTTTTGTGTAGCGCTCCAACCACTTGCATTTCTTGTTTTGATCCTCAGGGATTAAATTCTATGTTGCACTAGTACTGAGACTTATTTTTGAGGTCTTAAATTTGTCTATATTATTTAAATTATTTATATCTGCTTATATATGCTCATCTCACAACAGTAATCCTGGGTGGCGAACAAGATTAAAATAACATTAAACATCTAAACCACGATAGGCATCTAACTATCTAAACCTCTTTCCATCAGGTTGGCCTCTTTTTGATATTGCTAAATGGATGAGAAACTATTACAAGTTACAGACAATCTCTGACTAGATTATATATCCCTCATCAGCAGAGCTATAGCTGTTTTGGAAATATGATTCATCATCTTTGAAGGTCAGGACACAGAGATTGAAAAGACCCAACTTGCTTAAAGAGAAGGAGGATGAAATGACTACTGACTAGTCAGAATAACAGTTAAGATGTTGCATTAGGACCAAGGAGACACAGATTTAAATTCATCTCTAGACAAGGAAGTTTATTGGATTGGCTGAGGATAGGTACTGTGTAAGCCCAAAATATTTCAGAGGTTTGCTGCTAAGAAGAAAATTGAAGTAGGGTGAGGTGTGTTTGTGTGTGTGTGTGTGTGTGTACACATACTACCTTCGGGTCCTGGAAGACAAGTGAAGTACAAACCTAGCATACTGTCCTCCAGATATGTGGACTTCGGCAAAGTTTATGGACATCCATGTTGGGAAATGATAATCTACCACAATATTGTCCGTGTGTGTATATATATTTATACTGGAATATACTGTGTTCCCTAGGTATGTTTATGTACATGTGTATGTATGTGTACACACATACACACATATATAAAAACATACATACATGCATACATACATAAATAAATACGTGTGCAGTGCATCATATATTATGGAAAGAGGGCTTAACAAAACCTAGGGAATCAGGTTTTCTGGTTCATGTGGATGGTAGTCTGGAGAAAAGAAAGAGAGAATAAGAAAAAGCTAAAGCTGAAGGTGGTGGTAGCAAAGAGAGGCGAGATCTCTTTGATTTTTGCTTATTTTTGGCTCCTGACTTAATTTAATATTTCCCATTGGTAGATTGCCTTTTATAGAAAAAAATTGCACATTGTGGCCTTATGTTTTCCAAATCTCACCTTACCTTCTTGATCCCAGTGTCTCTGTAACTTTTGTTATATCCCTTGGGAACAGTAGTTGTTGAGAACTAGATTCTTGCACAGACAAATAATATTGTTTAAAAAGTACAACATATAATAACTAAAAGGAGGTAGGTTTTGTACGTAAATAACAAAGCCTTGGACTTGGAAGCTGAAATAGAATCAAGTGATATTTCATTTTTAATTTTGTTAATTGTGACCCTAGAAAGTGTGCAGAGTAGAGCAACAAATATAATAAAGAGTCTGCAACCTAAATTATATAACAAATGGTTGAAGGAAGTAGATATGACTAGCCCAGGGGTAGGCAACCGTGACTCTTTTATCACTCGTGGACTTCAACTCCCAGAATTCCTGAGCCAGCCATGCTGAAGGGAAAGGGAGAGTTTCCAAGCTGAGCCAGGCTGGCTCAGGAATTCTGGGAGTTGAAGTCCACGAGTCATAAAAGAGCCACGGTTGCCTACCCTTGGATTAGCCTAATGAAGGGAAGTATTGGGTAGGGGGTGGGGACATGATAATCTTCCAACATTTGAGGGGATTCTCCAAAGCACCAGACAAGCACCAGGACAAGAAGGAATGGGTGGAAGCTTGTTAAGGAGAGGTCCAACCTAGAAGTAAGGAGAAATTATCAGTTAGTGAGAACAATTATCATTAGAAATGTTTGGTTCCCAGAGTTTTCAAAAATAGACTGAACAACCTTTTGACGGGGATAGTATAAGGTCTCCTGCCTTGAGCAGGAGATTGGACTAAAAAAACTACAAGGTCCCTTCTAGCCCTATATTCTATATTCTGCAATTCCATGAATTCCCAATATTTCAACTCAACACTTTTTTTCCCTTTGTAGACAGACGACAGCTACAATTCAGGGAGCCCTTCCAAAGGAATCTTCTCAAAGGGGTTCCAGAACCGACCTTCCAGTCCATCTTCTGCTCCCGTCAAGTCTAAACATAGTCCAGGCTCACCCAAAACGGTGTTCCCCTTCCCGTACCAGGAATCACCGCCTCGCTCCCCTCGACGCATGAGCTTTAGTGGCATTTTCAGATCTTCTTCAAAAGACTCTTCCTCCTCTGGCTCTAACCCTTCCACCTCCCCCGGAGGAATCAAGTTCTTCTCCAGATCAAGAAAAAGTAAGGCATCGGTCATGTTTATTCACAAGAGCTTTGTTCGGGTTCCTTTACCTGCAGTATGACAATAAGGTAGATATAGGAGGAGACGTGCAATAGCTTGCATTCTGAATTTCAGCCTCTTGATTTAGTGGGTGGGATCCTGCTCTTGTCATCGGTAGAAATGTACATTTTGTGTCTGTGTTCAACTGAAATGGTCGAGATGGACCAGCATCACTCTGCTGCGATTGGGGACAACCTATACAAGAAACTATGCTGACTCCTGCAAACAATCTTGGAACTTTGCTTCTCAGTTTCTATTCCTTCCTTCCTTCCTCCCTCCCTCCTTCTCCTCCTTTCTGTACAAAGGCACACAGGATAATAAATTAAATTGTGGTTCAGTAGATTTATTGCTCAAGCCTTTACACAAGGGTCTAGTCAACTATAGTTCAGTACTAAATAATGGTCAGTGGAATTAAAGTGGGGTTGGCCATGGATCTTTGTGGGGACATAACAATTCTAAGCTGATGACACATTTAACTCCACCCCCCAGCTCTGCCTGCTCTTCTCCTACATCTTGCCTTTTTATCAACAAGTACATACAACAGCTTGGCTGATACTGAATTTGGAAGCTTTCTGGCCTTTGGAATCCTTGACTAGTGTCCAGTGGTCTGACTTTAATGCCTGTGGTATGATTAAGCAGAGTTTCCCCAAAGTTTATAATGACTACTAATTATAAGGGCTGCATGCAACTTCTGGGTCAAACTTAGCATATCTTGCCTTTAGGTAGCAGTACAGTTAGTTCTCAGCTTATGACCATCATGAAGATCGGAATTTCTAAGGCTAAGCTAAGCAAGGTGGTTGTTAAGTGAGTCACGTCCAATTTTACATTTTTGCCACAATTAAGCAAATCAGAGCAGTCGTTAAGTGAATTGCATTGTCGTTAAGCGAATCTGCCTTCCCCCATTGACTTGGCTTGTCAGAAGCCAGCTGTCAACGCATCAGATGTTTTCGCTTTGACAACAGATGGAAATACAGCCATTTTTCTCTATTGCTTCTAGAGTTAGTTGCTGCTGGGAGGGAGAATGTGGATAAGAGTCCAGCTAGTCATAACAATAATAACTCAGCCATGGGAACCCAAGGTCATTGAGTCCAGAGTTGATAGATTTTTGGCAGGCTGGAGAGCTGGGAAGAAAGCCCACGCTTCAAGCTAATTGGGGAATGTGATTTATGACTGTTTATTGGAGGAGGGATTTGCACTTTGTTACTTTGTATCCAGGGGAGGGGAATTTAGTTTCTGGTTTCGACTATGTAGTGCCGATACTTTGTTTCTCGAATAAAAGATTCTTTAAGGTAAACAATGCATCAAAGTTCTTTTGAAGAGGTTCATCTGTCGGAACTATGACACCAGCTTGCAAATACGGGTTAGATGACCCTAGAGATACAGCCTGAATTTTGATCATGTGAGGTTGCTGCAATGGATGTAAGTGTGGGGGCCATTCATAAGTCATTTTTTTCAGTGTCACTGTAACTTCGAATGGTTGCTAAATTAATGGTTATAAGTCAAGGACTACCAGTATTTAGGGAACCATGCATCTGTTGTAGGACATGTTGTCTTCAGCGGCCCAGTGCTGACTCCAAAACCGCACTGATGTGAGTGTCAAAGAACACAGCATTGGCTAGTATGCATATCAAAGGGGATTTTTTCCCCTGTTGTTTGTGTTCTTTCTTATAAATACTTGCTGCCTTCTCTGCCGTCCAACTTTGAGTTTGATATCGATTCAGTTGACATTTCCAAGCTAAAAGCATTTGGAATCTACTGTTGATAAGAGCCAAACAAAGGAACAGATGATGGATTTACCGCACCTTATGCAAGGCTTGCAATCAAACGAGCTGTAGTGTAACATGTTAGCAGAAAAGAGTGGTGGTTCTCAAAATGTCTTATGAGTTATTTCTATACTTCTGGCTATTCTGGGTTACACCTCCAAAAAAATCCCAGGAGAATTTTTTGCTGGATTAGGTTGGCCTTTAATCTGATGCATGTTGGCTTCCTTTCCTGGTTATCCAAAGAGAAAGGTTGCTGGATTAGGGAGGACTTTAATTTTTAAACATAAGCTTCCAATCTTGGTTTGCTTTAGACCCAGAGAATTAGCATCAGTTAGAACTGACCAGCTTTTCTGAATCTGATTCCTTAAAAATGTGTTTGTTTATTTGAAGAAAGTCAAAGGGCCAGCCACTTTATTCAACTATGGGTGGCTACAATACCCCTAGTCACCTAGTGCATATCCAGAGGGATACAAATTGGGAGAAACTTAAGCAGTTTAAAAAATTATTTATGTGATTTAATCAGAAGATTATTTTACATGTTCAGGTAAACCTGGAATGGAAAGAAGATAAGAAAAAGAAAATAATTCCCATCAGACCCAGAAAGCTTGAATGATCCTAGAAAACAGTTCCCATCAGTGTATCTTTATATTGTTTATTTATAGAGTTTCTGATTAGTCACCATGCCAGCTACAAGGCAGTTAAGGAGACAAATCTGAGAATTGTAATAAGAGCAGAATAAATTCTGCAATATGAATTTATTTGGATTGTACTTGGTTCCGTTATAGCAGTGGTTCTCAACCTGTGGGTCGGGACCCCATTTGGGGTCAAACGACCATTTAATGGGGGTCGTCAAACAAGGCTGTCCGCCATTTTTTTCCCCTTTTCTTTGGCCACGCCCCTGGCACCTGGTGATGTATAAGTGGTTGGGGGTCACCACAACATGGGGAACTGTATTATGGGGTCACAGCATTAGAAAGGTTGAGAACTACTGCGTTATAGGAACAGCAGTTGGGCGTGGAGGATCATAGCAACCCAGTGCTAAATTCTCCCTCCCAAGATTAAGAGAGAGAGACCATCCTATTTCATATAGGGTTTCCTGCCTGAGCAGGGGATTGGACTAGATGACCTCCAAGGTCCCTCCCAACTTTGTTATTATTGTTGTTGTTGTTGTTACTATTATTATTGATCATCACACAGTCAGCCAGATATTCAGACTGGATTTGGCATTTTTGTCTACCTATCAAGTCCTTACCAAGGATCTGGGATAGGCAGATGTGGATGTTTGATGGTATCATAGATATCATCGCAGGATGGAAGCAGTTCCTAATAAGGCCGCCTTTTGCAATTGACTAATAGCGAATTTGTCAATGCCAATGGTGTTCAAGGGGTGCTCCAGTTGTTTTGGGATTGCACCCAAGGAGCCTATCACTATTGGTACTACCCTTGCTTGCTTTTGCCACATTCTTTCTATTTCTATTTGTAGGTCTTTGTATTTTGTTATCTTCTCCAGTTCAAAGACCTACAAATAGAAATAGAAAGACTGTGGCAAAGGCAAGCAAGGGTAGTACCAATAGTAATAGGCGCCTTGGGTGCAATCCCAAAACAACTGGAGCATTATTATTATTATTATTATTATTATTATTATTATTATTATTATTATTACTACTACTACTACTAGTAGTAGTAGTAGTATCATTATTATTATCATCATCATTATCATCATCATCATCATCATCTCTTGGGGCTATCATTAGAACCTTGCACTACACTGATGATGTTAGGTAGCTTGGTAATGAAATGTCTGCAAGAAAATAACCAATCATCCTGCTCTTCCTTTGGTATTTCAGTTAATATGGTATATGATAGAGATACTCCTGTATGGAGGAAGATTAACATTGAAAGATGACATACTTGGATCAGTTTCAGGTTGGGCTTGCCAAGTTAGGGTTTAAAATCTTGCAAAGCCACAAATTCCTAGTGGTGACTTCCAGCTTCCAACCAGCATAGTAATATAACCACATTTCATAAACTATATATAGTAAACAAGATGGCTAAGAGTATGGCTATACTTCTTCCAGATCTTCTGAACAAAAGTTTAATATGGTTTGCTGTTCAGATTTACACCTTAAGAGGGTGCTGTTTCTTGCACGTTCCTGTTTTCTGTTGATCAGATTCAGGCTTTTAAACTACGGTACTACGCTTAACTACGCTTATAGCAGACTTAATCTAGAGGACATTCAGAACTTGAGTCTCCTTGGCATTTGATGCAGAAGTCAGAGTTCCTAGATGCTTTCTGAACTTGTTTTTTTTTTCTTGCAAATGTTTCATTACCCAAACTAGGTATCAGTGCTAGTTTTAAGCACTGCAGACGTTTCATAACCCAAACTAGGTAAACACCATCTAGTGCAGTGGTTCTCAACCTGTGGGTCGGGACCCCGTTTGGGGTCGAACGACCATTTCACGGGGGTCGCCAAACAACGCAGTCTGCCATTTTTTTCCCCTTTTCCTTAGCTGTGCTACTCCCTTTTATTCCACTGGCTTTTGAAAGCCAATAGAATAGACTCTCTTGAATAGCGTCTAATTCTATTAGCTTTCAAAAGCCAATAGGAATTGTCCAGGCTGTCTCTGCCCTGCTGAGCCCGCCAAAAGTCCCATTCTGCAAACGGTGCTGCATCAGTTGAGTAGTCCTCGACTTACGACCGGTTGGGGGTCGCGGCATTAAAAAGGTTGAGAACCACTGATCTAGTGCTAGTCCTAAGCTCAGAGAGCACCAAGGATCCCTCATTTCATCCCTGAGCTACCAATATTATCCCAAAGGTGCTTTTTCAAAAGGCACCCGGACTTTGTTTCACCTTAGGAAAAACAAAGTCCAGTTGCCTTTTGAAAAAGCGTCTTTGAGACAACCATGACCTGGATGACTGAGAATCTCCATGGACATACAAATATTATATTTTATTGATTCAAGTTGATGCTTAAATCCCTAATCAAGAATCTTTGTAAACATGAACATTAATCTCTAATAGTAAGGTGACCAACTTTTTTACAATGAAAAGGAGGACACAAATAAATTGAAGAAAAAATATCATAAATAAAAGAAACATTTTATTCATTGCAACAATAATACAGAATGCACTATAATATGATAAATGCATAATAAAAACATTTATAACAATAACATTTTATATTGTAATTATGCT